TTTATGTAAGCTGCAGATCTTATATCACCTGTTGGACTGACACACACACACACACACACACACACACACACACACACATTTTCTCACATACACTGAAGATCATATTTTCTATATTATCTATGTAAAAATACACCATTTAATTCTAGAAAAGCAAGCAGAAAATGCTAAAATATTTTTCAAGTCACTCAGTGGTCTGCGTGTGGACTTAGACATCATAATCCCTTCTGCTCGATGAGGATGACTCCTCTCTGAAACACGAGATCTAACAATGAAACACGTCCTAAAACTGCAGCTTTTCCTGAGCAGAGGCTTGACTTTGAACCAGGCGTTTACTCAATTTTTGTATTTGTGTGTTTTGGCTTGATTTTACACTCATGCAGCATCAGCTGGACTCAAGCATCAGCGGAGATGTGAGGGTGGAAGTAAGTCTGGAAAGATGGAGGCATTATCAAACAAATTACAGATGGAAGTAAAATCTTAAGTAAAAGTTGGAAAACAAACAAAAATAAACAAAGGAATGAGTTTCAGATGTTTGTCGAGGAGTAAATTGTACTTTGTGAATGTTTTCACATATAAATTCATGAATTCATTCATTTGTCTCACGTTTCCTGCTAAATAAAAACAATAAAACATTTGCTAGTGGTTTAAGAGGATCCCTGACCATTCCTCATGCTGAGGAATATTCAGCTTGAGCGTGTACGGCAGGTCAAAGATTTTTTTCTGCAGTTTTGACAACAGTCCAACTCCAGTGATGCATGAGAACAAATTCCTTGCTAACTTGCACCAACATGACAAGCAGCATCACTCACGTCTGTTTGCTGTGTTTACACCAGGCTTTCTTTTAAAACTGACACAAAAGGGCGGCTGCTTTTTTGCCGGGAGGTCTGATTTGATCTGTTTTCTTTCTGTCTGTGTATGTTTTTATGTTATTTATATATATGTTTATCTGTGTTCTGCAACAAACAGAAGCCACAAAAATCAAGAGGGGCAAGGAGTCTTTAACAGGCACGCTTCCACTGCTGCAAACTAATTTCAATCAATCCTTCCGTTTTGCATCCAAAGCAGCCTCTGCTGGCTGCCACCGCCTGAAGATAACTATTTCACCACCTCTGTCATGCCTAATTAACAACTCAGATGTACAATTTAGAAATTATGCGATTAACCTAGTAAAATATTGTTGGAGGATGCTAATTGTTATGCCAGTTGCCATAAAGACTCATTTGCATAACGTATGTGCAAAAAACAATTATGAGCTGTTGATCGCAGGAGCCTGCAGAAATGGCTTCGAGCGATTGAGGCAGAGTGTGTGTGTGTGTGGGGGGGGGGGGGGGGCAGATGGAGGGACAGCATTGGATCGTTGTACAAGGAGCGCAGATTTAAGGAGCCATGCGCGCAGCTACAAGGTAACGCTGCTGCTAAGACATCTCTCCCCACTGCACACAGCATTTACCCTTCCAAATGAAACTGATGTGTATGCTCTTGTCTTTCTTTTTTGTCCTCCCCATCCTCTTTGTCTAGCTCCCTGTCTTTTCATCTTGGCTGATGGGGAAATGGAGGGTATTTGGGAGCTACTTAGATAATAGCCACATCCTCCCCGGTACCCCTTGTGCTTTAGAGGAGGAAGCGGTGGGCCTGCCATTGAGCCAGTCAGAAACCCAGCTGTGCACGAACCATTCGGCACGACGCTATCTAGTCACTCCAGCCGAATCAACGGGGCTCCCTGAGACAAAAAGCAGCCAAAGTTAATTGTCTCTGCAGCTGAATAGCTTTCTGTTCTCCGTCAGGCGTTTACCAGGGCTTTGTCAGGATAAAAGAACCCACACGACAGTGATCTCAGGGGAATGTTTTTTGTTTCTAGGCTCCATTATTATTATTATTATTATTATTATTATTATTATTATTATTATTATTATTATTATTAATGGTAAGAGAAAGAAGGCATGTTAGTTTTTTTGTTTGTTTTCCCAAAAGAGTTCAGAAATGCTTACCTCCTCAGTCTTAACTCTATTTACTGCACATAAAGCTTTTACTCTGCCGTGAATCTGATTAATTACTGCCTCCTCCTGAACTGTTTTTAGTTAACCAGAGCTCCCCGTTACACGTAGCACAGGCGAGCGAGTGAACATACATAGAAGTGCTCCTCAGATGCCAGGTGCTGCAAGTGCAACAGAACGGCGACGTTCCTCTGACCTGTGAGTGCAGTCTCTCCTTAATCCACAGCTACAAACACTGGATCACAGCATTTATCAGCCTGAATCTGCCCACATTCCCTCCCTCCCTTCTCGCCGCTACCTCTCTAGACAACCACCACCCCCTCACCCCACCCATTTCTGAACCTGATAAGTCAAAGGTCAAGAAAACAACAAGTCAATACGCGACCAGAAGAATCGTCTTGCAGCTGAGAGAGCTGTGGAGAAGACTAAGCCTCTCTGTAGCCCTCCGTGATTTAGCCTGTAATAGTTTTCTGTAATCTCTCTCTATTGATTAAACCTCACATCAA